AAAAAAAAACATATAAATTAAAAAAGGGCAAAAAAAATTGAAAAATAAAGAAATAAAAAATCTGCTAAAAACCTAAAAAATTCAATAAAAAAATCTACATGAAAAAGCAAATAATAAAAATGAAAATAAATTAAATAAACAGATATAAAAAAATAAACAAAAATATATTCCACTAGAAAAAAATAAAAATAAAAAAAATTAGCAATATAAAATTGACAAAAAGTAAACAAGTACAATACATTAAACAAAAAAAAAACTATATAAGTATATATATTTGAAATGGTAAGAAAATGAAATAAAAATTAAAAATTAAAATAAAATCTACCAAAAAAACTATAATTTTAAAAAATATAATATAGAAAAAAATGAAAATAAACTTGGCAAAAGGTAAAAATAAATTCTACAACAATAGAAATAACAATATAAATAAAAAATAAAAATAAGTTCTGCTAAGAAATATTAAAATAATTGTTAAAAAATTAACAAAGATTTAAGAAAAAAAAAAAAATTACACAAAAAAAAATAATTTTACTAGAAAAAGTTAAAGAAAATATTCATACAACAATAAAATCAAACATTAAAAATTACATTTGAAAGCAATGTACATATACATACATACACAAAATTCGCAAAAATGAATAAAAAAAATAAATAAATTTTTCTACCGCAAAATTAGCAAATCGACAATGCGAGCTAAGAATAATGCATAAAAATACAAGCAATTAGAATTTAGCTAAAGAGATAAAAATCAAAAGCGCTTTAGTTGTAAATCAACATAGAAATCTTCCGCTGTGAATAGCTGCAAATATTATGCAACTACAATTATACAAAAGACTGTTTCCCAGTCTTTGTATGTAAAGTTTTGTCTGTAAAATGTTTTAAAGCTTGTTTTTGTTTTGTATTCCTACAACTACAACTATTTGCAACCACTTTGAAATTCAACACTTTTAACACGTTAGCCTGTACTTTGTATTACAATTTGTTTTTTTTCTGTAGCATATATAACGGTTTTGCAAACAAGCTACATAAATATCTCAAATTATAACAGAGAACAGAGAAGATGCACAGAGTACAGTAGTATGAAGCAGAATCAGACAGAAAAACGCTTTTATCTTAATTTATGCATATAAGTTTGTATATATGTCTGCATACGTATGTACCTAATATCAAATGCACATTTAAAATAAATACATTAAATAGTTGAAAAAAAAGCATAAAAATTAAGTATACAAGAAAACAAGTACTTTTATATTCATAATGATAATTGTCACGTTTGCTTACAACATGCTAACTACAAACGAGTTGCTAAATTTTAGTATCAGTTGCTGACTACAGAAGACTTGTGGCTAAGAACAGACAGGATATTTAAAAATATATGAGAATTTTGGTATAAGAAGAACACAAATATCTTAAGCTTAATGTTCGCTGGTAATTTCAGGCATCAGAGATTTCCAAGAAGTTAAGATTAATTTATACAAACATACATATATTTCTTGATAATTTAAGCGCTTAATATTCAAGAATATTCATTCTTTGGACAAACTACTTAAGTATTAGTTATTCTACATTGAGGTTGCCACCTTCATAATAGTTCCCAACGGAGATTATGCAGTTGTTCCAACGCTTCTGCCAATCCCCGAAACACTTTTCAAACACAGTCTTCGAGATGACCCTTAGTTTTTATATCCAAGCGATTTGAATCTGATCTATGACTTGTAAGTCTTTTAAGAAGAAACGGAGCCATGTCTGTTGAATATTTAAGTAAATTTTTTTTTGGCCAAAACTAGCAATGAGGTGTAAGCAGTTGCATTATCGTTATATAAAAGCCATGTACAATTTTTGCCCCAAATCTGGGCGTTTTCTTTAAATTACTTCATACAAACAACGTTGCACTTATAGTTAGTACTTCTTATTGACGCTTTGATCTGTAGGTAGACATTTCAGTCATTCTTCAACTTCATTGACTGTATTTGGTGACTCTAAACAATTTCCCTTCGCCGGTGTTTTTGTTTAAAATTCAACAATGTTTGGAACAATTTTGCTGTCACGGGCTTCACACTCAAAGCATAGACGAAAAATGTCATGACATGATTTAATTACTATACCAACATCATCAGCTAGTTCCCTAATTGTGACTCGGTGATCGTTCATAGCTAATTCTAAAACTTTTTTCGCGTTTTCATCGGTTTTCGATGCGCTAGCGCGTCCAGAATATTTGTCTCTCAAATAAACGCGTTTTTCTCAATCATAAAAATTTGCATTCTTCCTTTAAACGCATATATAAAATTTTTAGGATTCTGATAATTCAGAACGTTTAATTTGAGATCACTGTTAGGTGCTTTTTTTGAGGTTATAAACAGTAGTATGTAGATACGCATTTAATTACCATCTTTTACAGTTGCTAAATGAAAACTATTTCTATAAAAAAATCAGAAAAATCGTTTCATGCTCGCAAGTGTATAAAACTCCTTAACAAAAGCAAAAGCAACATTTAATTTACAATTCATTGATACTAAAATGAAGTGAAAACGAACTAATTCAACAAACTTGTTGATAGCCCCCTCTAGAACAACAGGTCCACCTTTCTTTGCGGATGCCACTCAGTAGCTCTTAGTACCCCGTAGTGCCCGTTCCGTCCGTGTGTTATATCACAGTACATCAGAATATGGCATCCCCTCAGATGCAGTTCCTGCAGTCACGGCATACGCCCATAATACGACCCCTCTCATGAGACCGACAACACTCTTACAAATTAACTACAACGGCCTTCAAAGGGAGATAGTCGACTCCACGATTCGGCAGCACCAGAGCCCCGAGCACAAGCAAGTTGGTAGCTTAACGTTCATCATGCAAAACAGCGTACATTATCGTCTTATTAGTAGCGACATCGATCACAAAGATACTAACCTAGGAAGCGAAAATCAACCGGTTTTGTGTGACGATCACGGGCACCCTTATTCTGCCAAACAGATAGAATATTCGTCATTCTGCATCATGAACGACGACGCATAAAGTGGTGACCTATTTGACCTAGTTGACCCTTGCATCAGATAATTATCTCTACTACCAGAGGCCCGAGTTTGTTTCTCCGGATTACCGTACATTTGTCAGCATCAAAAAAGCTTGCTGGTCCTGCTGTTCAAGCTTACCCACTGAAGCACCGGATTCAGTAACGGAGAGCGACGTTCTACGCCAAGCCTATAGATCTCCTAATTGAGGATTTCAATATAAGCAAAATAAATTAGGTTTTGAAACAGCTCCTCAGAGGCAACCAAGCTTTGGGCCACAGTCAAATCGTTGTCAAATCGTTATCAAATCTAACTAGCCATAATAGCCGGGTGGAAATTACATTCGGTGATCACGCCTCGTTGAACCCGAAGATGTAGGCCGGCTTTTCACATTGCATGCTTCAACGACCCGTCCTCTGCGCAAACTGACAAACTCCATGGTTTATCCAGGGAATAGGTTCTGAGGGTGATTGAGACAGCAAAAGCTTCCAAATATCTAACCATGGAGCCCAATTTGTCTGTTATCTATACCTGATATATAAAATTGGGTAGAAAAGTCCAATTTCTGAAATCGGGGCATCTGCCCTCCGTTCGTCCATATACACTACAGTTGAAGTAAGAATTGAGATATTTTGATAAAAAGCGGTTCACACATTCCTTGGATGAGATCGCACGGAGCTAACGTCCATCTGCCATAAAACGGTACTTTGGGAATCTGTAATTTTTAGACATTCGACAAGCAAAAAAATCTTCAATAATAAAAATGGAACGATACACGCTTCAACAACGCATTGAAATTATTAAAATTCACTATAAAAATTTCATCGAGAAATCTTTTCGGAAGATGAGGCTCATTTTCACCTCGATAGCTAAGTCAATAAGTAAAACTGTCGCATTTGGAGCTCGGGAAACCGAAGATTTATTGTTGAAAAGCTTCTCCACGCTCAACGTATAACTGTTTAGTGCAGTTCATGGTCCGAAGCGGTCATCGGACCTTACTTTTTCCAAAACATATGGACTAGAAAATGTTGGATTTCAACAAAACGGCGTTACGTGCCACATCAAGCAACGAAGTCATTGATATTTAAAATAAAAAATAACCCCTCTTACTGGAAACCCCATTATTAAAAAAAAAAAGTAGTGAAATAATCACAATCTTTTCAGTCTGGTAGCTAATTCTTCCTTAAACGAAGTGAAACTTTAATCTCCTTAGGAGCGCACGCACCGGCCTCATATGTCCTACATGTATATTGACTTGTATATGTCTAAAAGCTTTCATTAGTGCCACCACCCAAATTTTCTCTTGTCTCTTTCATTTTAATACAAAGGTCATCGAGTGCATTTAAATACTTTTACAAGCGAATGAGTGGACTTTGAGTAACGAAATAAGACCACTCGGGTGCAAGTTCAACATTTAACATGATTTTTCACCAAACCGAAATTTTTATTGTGCTCGTAAGCAAATTCACTTTTAGGCCACGTGCTGTTGATGTTGACTTTTCGGTAGCTGTTTAACGGTTATTGGAGGTTTTGTTGTTTTTATACCTCTCTTGAATGTCTTTCTTTACGACAGGAGTGTTTTTATTTCTATTATTTGTTGCTGCTGGAATTGTCATTGTTAGGAAATTTGTACAATTGTGCGCACATATATATGTATGTATGTATGTTGAGTTGAACCGTTAACGATAAAAGCTGTTGAGGTTGTTGTTGTCGTTGTTGATATGAACAAGACAATTGTGTAAGCTTTGCCGCCGCCTCCAACTGATGTTGCAAGAGCGCACTGAAGACTTAACGAAGAAAACAAAAATTCAATTGCAGCACCAAAAGAGTTTTGAAACGTCAAGAGGAAATCCGCTTTGCAAAATATGACAGTTAAAATGTATTTAAATTTAAAAGATTATTAATGTGGACACAAACAACATACATACATATATCGAATTACAATGAAAAGAAAAAAGAGACTAAATGTTTAAATTTTAAAATGAAAAATATTAAAACAGAATCAAAAAAATTAAAACTCAAAAAGTATTCGTAACAAACAAAAGGCAAAACCAAATAATCTGTTATTTTGTTGTTTTTTTTTTTTTGGAAATGTGCGCGTTATTTGTGAGAGTGTGAATTAATGTTTTACAAATGATCGAATGGTGGTGATTCTACTACTATCGCCGCCGCCACCAACACCACAACCACCGTACGGAACAACAACCACAACACCAACAACAAATGGCTGTGATGGAGGCTCGAACGATAGCAGCACTGTATCGACGACATCGACCGGCGACACCGTCATACCCACCATATATACCGTTAACCAAGCAATACCACTGCCAAACGAAGCCACCTATCAGCACTATCAACCACCCCAACCACCGGCGTCAACGGCATATCACCATCACCACCAACACCACCAACACCACCAGCGCCACACACGAGCCGCGTACGAACAACAACAGCAGCAGCAGCAGGTGCAGCAACGTCAGCGACGTCAACGCACCCATTCGCTATATGAAAAACCGCCACATCATCAAACACCGCAACAACAACAATCCAAACCGCAAAATAATAACACAGCACAACATTCTAGTCATTTACGTAGTGAGCATAAAAACTGCAACACCAACGAACGCCTTAGATACCCTACGCACGCAACGACGAGCACACAATATGCGAGTCGTCCGTATACGAGACGTGAGCAGAGACGGGTTTACGAAGGGCGCGCAGGAAAGATGTCCGACCAACAGTATCCGCCAAGAATTATTATCTCCCCACCACCACCACCATCATCGCCACCACCATCAACAGCTGCACCACACTTTCAAACAGCAACATCAACAAGTGCGCGGCGTGTACAGGATATGTGCGTTGAAACAGCGGTTGCTCCACCACCACCAGCACCACCGCCCTTACCGAAGAGCCAACCACCCCACGGTTCATACTACAGCTGCTGGTGTGGCGAAATGCAACCTCATTTGCACGCTACACACCCGTCGGGCACGAATCCGCTGCCAAAACCGCCAAGAAGTGGCGTCGCACAGTCGCACATCACTGCGAGAGTGCCAAACAGCACGTACAGCAGTGCGACGGCATCGAAAAGAACAATTGCGCGCAAGCCACGCGAATCGAGTTGGTCCATTCCTCCATCACAAGAACCTGCAGCTACTTCCAGCGCTTATCAATGGCGTCAACATATTACGCCAGCACATTCGCTTCCAACTTTTGCGCCTGCTGCACCTACTCCAATACAGCAACGCCAAGAACAGCAAATGCCACCAGCCAATGCGAATTTCTACAACTACAACTATAACTATGATAATAATAATAACAACAATAACAATACTAACTCAACAGATTATGTACGCCACGTGACACGTGTTAATTTCTATGATGTTGTTACTTCGCAGGTCGAGTTCGAGCCCAAAGATGATAGTGATGAATGCGATACGGAAGCTATTACCAAAGAAGGTGAGTGGAAAATGAAAAATGAAAAAAAAATTAAAAAATGATGAAATATACTTTATATGTACTTATCTATAAGCTAAGTTCTATTTATCATTCAGTTAGGAGTATCTGAATACTTAGCAACATATGTATCTACGTGTATGTATGTGTGTATGTGTGAACGAATTATTGTGGCTGAGTAAAGTACAATTTTATTTATTCGTGATAATTAATTGAAATTGCTCTTACAGTGCTTTATGTACTCATATACGAGTATATACATATGTACTTTGCACTTTTTATTATTTAGTGTTAATTTTCACTTTTACGTTTGATTTCCTGGTTTTTACTTTAGAAATGAATTTTTATTTTTTATACCTCTCACGCTTATGAAATATCAGGTGCTGCCAGATTGCTCCGCACCTGATCCCCGAACCATAGTGAAGACTTTTCCATCCTCTACTTCCACCACCCAGTGCCGCATCGAGTCCTTTCTCTCGAAAACTTCTAGAGCCGACTAATCGAATGTCGACATAGTCCACACTTCTGCACCACACAGCTGGGCGGCTATGATGAGCAACTTGTAAATTTGGTTTTGTTTGTCGAAGACTTTACATTTAAATTGCCAACTCAGTCCAAAGTAGCACCTGTTGGCAAAAGCGACTCTGCGGTGTTAGTGCTGGTCCCTGGATAGACGAAATAATCTACTACTTCAAATTTATAACCGCCAACATTGACGTGGGAACGGCGTTACGAATGGCGTTGACTGTTTATTTGCTAAAAGGAGATATTTGATATTATTCTCGGTTATTGACGCCAATGATATCAATATCATCGTCAAACTCCTGCAGTAGTATATTCTTTTAGACGATTATAACGCCTCTATTCAGCTCTGCAGCTCGTATTATTTTCCCAACCGATTAAAGAAGTCACATGAACTTTACCATGCCGGGAATCTCGCTTGGTACCGAACGACTCGGGATTGACCGAGCTTTTGGATGCACAAGTTTTTCGAAAATACTATAGTAAATTCAGACATAGCCGTGTAGAGGCAGCCCATTTTTATGCTGTCGAAGATTACGAGTATATGTAGAGCCTATCATCTTCTTATATAAGTAGAGGATACCACTAGCCTTCTTCACCTCTTTTCCTCACTGAGTTTTCTCAAGGGCTTGTTATCTAAAATTACTTCCAGGTGCTTGATATGATCTTAAATTGATAACTCAAACCTATTGACCCTTGGGACTTTCCATGCTGGAGTCTTGTACTCCTTGTAAAGAGTATCAGTATTTGACTCTAATTTGGGTCTTGTTGTCCATCAGTGGATGCTCTTTTTTCAAATTTTTTCAAAATTTCATTTGCCAAAAGTGGCTACAGAAGCAGTGGCATTACTCCCTTCTGAGAAGTTCCTGTACCTGCTAATCTGAACAGTCTGTCTTCGCTCCAATCTAAGTTAATCGTTCTGCAGCTCAGTAGAGTTTTTATTCACGATAAGTGTCAGCCTCTATTCGGTCCACTTCTAGACTATTAACAATGGCGTCATTTTAGACGTTGTTGTATGTTTTCCTAATGTCTATAAAGACGCCTAGTGCATATTCTTTATGACATAGAGCTATCTCTATATTGAGGGTTAGTGAGTGTAATCTTAGTAGATCTGCCCTTCGTATAGGCGTGCTGGCGGAGGTGTCTTCTCAGAAAATGCTCCGATGGAACTCTCGTTCAGGCTACCTAGCCGTTGCAGTGTTTTCCAGGCGGAGATATCTGCTATCATGGAGGCTGCAAAGCAAATTGGAGCCAGTTTAAAAGTAAAGATGTCTTCATTTTCAGCGATAGTCAAGCTCGCTTTCACTGAACTCCATATTAGTGCTGAACTATCGCCGATCTCTACAGATGATTGCTAGACAGAACAGACTGTCTCTCATATGCGTTCCTGGTCCTGTAATGCGGATGGACTTGCTAGGCGAGGTACGATCAAGCAGATTCTTCCCGATAAAGAACGCATTGGTAAACCAGCCACACATGGCCGAAATGGGATAAGAAGAGATCGCGAGATATGTACTCCTTAAAAAGAGGTGACATGTCCAAAGTTATAGGAGTGCTGACATGCCACTGTCTGATAGGGCATCACACAGAAAGACTAGGGGCTCCATACAGAAGATGGTGCGTGTGCAAGGAGGATGAAAAGGAGGAAACGATCGCCCATCTCGTATGCGACTGTCCTGCATTATGAAAGACGAGGTTTCGTAATTTTGGGACCCCACTGCTGGATGGTCTATAGAAGATAACTGACATTATGTTCATTAGAAAATCATAATGTATGGAGGATGAAGCCTGATGCCTTAAGTTCTTGTGGTAACACAATGGGTCTGTTAGATCGTAAGCCACCGCAACCTAACTTAACTGTGTCTTTATATTTCTTCCAGCAGGACTCATCATCTGCTATCTTGTGCAGCTTGAAGAGTTCTTTAACACTTCGCCCAAGTCTTAAAGGTCAACTTCAAGCACCTCTCTGCTGATACTTTTAATCAAACACAATATTTACTGAACACGAACCAAGTCGACCTTAAGAAACAATGCAGTGCACTTTTGACACCACACAGACCCTTAAATACTCGTACACTAACTATAGCAAACAATTAAGAGAGCAAAAGCAATTGCGCATTTCTTATTATGATGTACTCCCAACCGCCTTGCAAACCGGCAGACCGATTTGATTCAAGGGTTTTCCTAAGACGCCAGAAAAATTATCATCATAATGGAAAATGGAAATTTCAGTGCCTTTTAAACTTTTTTGGCAATGGGACGTTTTATATCCATTCAATTTGAAACTTAATAAACTCTTTAAATATATTTTTGAGTTTTGAAATAAATATATTATTTTTTCTTTTTTCGACAAATCTATCGCTTAACTGGTTTTCCCAAATCGTTAAAATTTTTTTCACAATTTTCATTTTTCGTCCATTGAATATGATTTTTTTTGTTGAGAGTTAAAAAAATGTATTTTTGAACAGCTTATCTGTCACACTTGACTGTCAAGCTCGATACACGACCAAGGAACTTCAACGTTTGATGCCGATTGCCGAAATCACGAAGCTTATGTCCTTTTTGGACGAGAGTAACTAGCCGAGCGACTTCAAGTAGAGATAAATACTGTTAAAGCATGACAAAGATTAAAGAAAAAAAAATAATAGTTTCTAAACTTTTAAGAGTATAAGCAGTTAAAGTTGGAGATATGAACCTTTCATAAATTAATTTAGTTAAACAAGAAGCTAAGCAGAGAGCGAAAGCTTAAAGAATGAATAAAAATTTTAATTTCATTCGGAAAATTTCCACTCAATTATCGATGATTCGATTCAACTTATGCAAATACCGATGTTCAGTCAAGGAAATGCCACACAGTTGGAGCTGTAATGTGCTCTATCGCGTTCCCACAAATGGCGGCGTCAATTATGATTATGCTTAACACAACACATGATTTCCTAATACATACCGCGGATAGAAGAAATCCAACTAAACGATATTCACACTGCATATTTAAGTTTCGAATTAATCAGACCAATTAATAATCAAATCTGAAATCTCGACAGGTTTCTGCTTCTTACGCATACACTTCTCAATTCCACACTTAATCGTCATAAATACCTCGCCCCATAGTTACTTACTTTGTAACAATCTGCAATTTATATCTACTCTTTAAAGTAACGGTAAATAGATTTAAGTAAAACCTACTCATATTACATTACATTACAGTAGATTGCTTGCAATTTGGCTGCAAATCCATATTTAAATGTCAGAATGCAACGGTATGCGCAAACGTTCGTTAGACAGAAATTTTTGCACATTTATTAACTGTTAATTATAGCCTAAACTAACTGTTATTATTTATATGTTTTTACCCAACTACCACAATGCTAATTGACGCCCCGCTATGAGTGTTGCCGCGACGCAGCGACATTGCCTGTCATCGCCTGGCTTTAACGAGCCAAAAGTAAAAAATTTTAATAAATGGAAATAAAATCAAAGTGAAACAAAAACAGAAACAAAAACAGAAACAGAAACAGGCTTCCCTTTTACGATTATTTGGTGAATGCAGTCGCTCATCACATATATGGTGAGCAGCAGCGGCGGCAGCGGCATAGCTAGCCACCAGCTATTTAAACTAAATAAAAAGGTAATTTGAGCGGTGAGGGAGAGTGTACGAGTATAATGTGCATTACCTAAAAAAAGCCAAATAAGTCTGCCGATTGAGATATATAGTCTTCTATATTTATATGCATACGTTTGTGTGTGTGTGTACATACACACATGCTACTCCAATTCATTTTATTTCGTTTTGACGTCATGGAGTCGTGTGTCAGAAATAAACAAATTTATGACTGGAGTAAGTGTTAAATAAAGGGTGTTTTTTTTAGACATGTGGTTTTCAAAAAGAAACAAAACGCATATAATTTAACGTATAATAGTTTACAATTAAGTTCTAAAAATGACCGAGAGGCCCAATTTTCGACCACCTTTTGCCGCATTCAAGGATCAATCAACAATAACGCGTCCAGTATTTTCTTCCAAGGCGTCAATGGTCTCGAGCATACCTGCGTAGACAAATGGTTTCATATAACCTCACAAAAAATAGTCCAGCGGTGTTAAATCGTTCGACCACGCCACAAGCACACGACACGAGATAATGCATTTACCTAAAGTTTCATTCGATAAATTGATTTTTTCGTTGGCTGTATGCCATGTTGCGCCGTCTTGTTGGAACCAAAAGTCGTCCACATCAACATCTTCCAATTCAGGCACGAAAAAACTATTAATAATGGCTCTATAGATCCCATTGACATTAAGTCCAAAGATTCCCATAGAACACTTTATACATGGACTTATTGAGGATGTAATAATAGCTTGTGGATTGTTATCACTCCGAATGCGCAAATTTGTTTGTTATATGAAAATGTGAATCAGCGGCCATCGTTTATTGGGCCTAATCACCGAACGTGCGACGCTCTTGGTGGTCGTTCGGCTGCACT